AACTTTGGACCACTCAGCAGCAGTCCCAGGTGAGACACTTCTGACGCTGTCTCTTGTTCAAGAGTGACTTGACACAAGGAATGTCACAGCTGAAATCCATGTCTTGCATACGTCTGTGCGTGGTGGTTCTTGAAGCACTGACTCCAGCTGCAGTCCACTCTTTGTGAATCTCCCCCACATTTTGGAATGAGTTTTGTTTCACCATCCTCTCCAGGATGAGGTTATCCCTTCTGCTTGTACATTTTTCTACCACATCTTTTCCTTCCCTTCACCTCTCTATTAATGTGCTTGGACACAGCGCTCTATGAACAGCCAGCCTCTTTAGCAATGACCTTTTGTGTCTTGCCCTCCTTGTGCAGGTGTCAATGGTCGTCTTTTGGACAACTGTCCAGTCAGCAGTCTTCCCCATGATTGTGTAGCTACAGAACTACACTGAGACCATTTAAAGGTCTTTGCAGGTGTTTTCAGTTAATTATCTGATCAGAGTGTGACACCAGGTGTCTTCAGTATTGAACCTTTTCACAATATTCTAATTTTCTGAGATGCTGAATTTGAGGTTTTCATTAGTTGTCAGTTATAATCATCAGCATTAAAAGAAATAAACATTTTTAAACAATATATCAGTCTGTGTGTAATGAATGAATATAATTTACGTTTCACTTTTTGAATGGAATTATTGAAATAAATCAACTTTTTCACGAGATTCTAATTTTATGAGCAGCACCTGTACGTTATTGATGTGTTTGTAGACGCTCATTTTATTCCATTTATATTTATTAAATGCATCGCACATCTGAACACGTGTCTCATTCTAGAACAGAACGACGTGGCTTACTGTAGTGGCGCGTTGCAAAGTACATGTTGGAGGAAAAATTAGACAAAGTCTGAAAGAGAAGAAATGATGGAAATCAATGGGATGTTGGTGAAACATGAGAAAATCCAGACCTCCTAGAAGTTCTGTAACGTCTGTAGGTTCAGCTCTGGACCTGTTTGTTCACCCCATGTGG